GCCAGTGAGGATGCTTTGGATGGGATCAATTCCCCGGGACGGTGAAAAGCACTTTACGCATGGGGGAGTGAGACTGTGGGACTCTGGGGATCCGTCTCAAAAGCTCGTGAGGGTTGTCCGAGGAAGAGGAGAAGTCGGTGCTGAGGGATTTCTGAACGCACCGATATCTGTTTGCCTCGGGCGTTGAATATCGCACTATTTTGGGAAACGTAATGAGTGATGGGGATGTATATATTTTTCTGTTGCTAGTATTGGGGAAGAGGAATACTCTTTTGTCTGAATGTATGCGAAGGTTTGGCTTGCGCGCGTTTATGTTTGGGGGATTTTTTCGGTGCATTATTAGAGGACCTCAAGGAGCTGATGCCACCAACACGCCGTGGACGACAGTGCGCGGTGCTGGAGGCGAACCCTGAAGGGCACCGCGCCGAGTCTTATGTGGAGTGATTGCAATGGAATACCATACAAATACCAAAATAAAGTACGGGGTGCTGTGCATACCGGCGGGTGCAATCTTTCCGCTGGTGGACTGCTTTTTCTTTGTGGAGTTACCGCGGAAGACGCTGGTTGGGCTGCGGATGGCTACGGCGAGTGGGCGCCACACGACCGCCAGCACTGTGAGGCAGTTCACTGAGTGTCTGGCGGCTTATTTTAATGGTTGGGAGGAGTTATCCCAAGAATTCTCGTGGGAGATTATTTATGTGCAGCACGCAGACAGCATGCCGATGAACGACTGGCGGAGATGTGATGTCGACAATCCCAATAGTGTGAGCCGCGCTGAAAGCCGAGAGATTGCGGCGTTCTGGAGGAAGAGGTGCGCCAGTACCAAGTATCAATATCATCCAGAGACTTTAGAAGAGACGAAGCTCTCCGAAGTGTGCTATAATAATAATAATAATAATAATAATAATAATAATAATAATAATAATAATAATAATAATAATAATAATAATAATAATAATAATAATAATAATAATAATAATGGGAAAATAGATTAGGAAATTGCAAGTGAACGAGACAGCTTGATTTATGGTAAAAAATATTGTGGGATTTATGTATTTTTGGATGCTTGTGTCTGAGCATGCGGTGCGGGTGCACCAGCCCCATGCGGCAGCACCGTACACAAATGCCAAAATGTCCAACGCTATCGAAAATAACAGTGACAGAATAAATTAAGGAAAGGGAGTGGGGTTGTTTGGTTTCTGGTGAAAAACATTGGGTGGTTTTTATATGTTATGTTGATTTTGTGTGTGCATACGAGGCGTAATTGGAGAATTGCCCCGGTATGAGGGAATCATTGTGGCTGGCGGTGTTACGGTGTTACTACATTTCTTTTCGTAGGAGCTTCTGAAGAGAATGGTCGTGGGAGACCTGGCGAACTTAATTGATGTATATGTATCCTGGTAAAACTAATGCTCTTCTTTATGAGACTTTTCCCATCGTATGAATTTTGGGAGGCCACGACTTTGTAGGGGCAGGGAACCGATGGCGGCCGGACAATTTTTTATTTTTATTTTAAGCTTACTGACACAGCCAGCTTGGTTTAAGGAAACGGCATTGGTTCCTTACACTGTTTTTGAGTGGTGTGATATTGGCGCCCGTCTCTGGGACCTGGTACGCCAACGGGGCGAAGCCCAGGTGCAGATGACGTTTATTAATGGAACCGAGATGTCGGATGAGACGTTAACTGTGGCTCCCTTATCGACAGGCTTATGCCTGATTTTGGGAAACGTCACCAAGCCCTGGGAGGATTCGAGCCTTACAGGACATATTGCGAATCTACGGGCGTTTCAAGTACCAAATTTTGAGAATCAATTGATCTTGCCCATCATGGGCGCAGGCCGGGAGTTGGGGCGCGTGGCAAGGGCTCATCATTGCTGAAGGGGAGCGCTTGAGCACGAAAAGCGCCCACGCCACCGCAGACGTGCAGAATCGAAGCGCTCAGCCTCATTCGCGGGTGGAAGAGGCGCATAACAACCTATCGGTGCGCGAATCTGACATTGCGATCGCCGGCAGCCTTCTTGCAGAACGGAAATGCGCGCTCGCCGGCCGCGAACAGCAGTTGGAGGTGACCCGCACCCAACCACAGGAACGAGAGGCACGCGTTAGTGCTAGAGAGGCGCGGCGAGCCGCGTGGGAGGCGGAGACGGCGAGCCGGGAAGAAGTCTCCACCTCTCGGAGAGGTCCGACAGATGGACCTGTCGCGTGTCACAATAAGGCCGAATACGGCGTTACCAAAAAACCACGTTAAAAGCATCGCTTGATGGCCGTGGGCGCGTCGTCACGCACGGCCCAACGAACTCCGGCGCGAGAGAGACGGCAGGTTATTTCTCCAGACGTCTCAGGGCAATTTCGGGTGACCACATTTCTATCCCTCGATGCCTTTGCCCTCCAGCACTTCTTTTTGGACGATCATTCCGCTACAGGAAAAGAGGGACGAATGTTCCGCGCATTCGACTCCACCAATTGGCCCCGCGTGTATGGGATGAGGGCGTTTCCGGAGTCTTTTTGGACCTCCGGGGCGCATACAATTATTGGCGCCAGGCGGAGGACCAGGCCCAACTTGTCGTTGACAGTTTGTTTGCGTGGATGTGTGCGCTGGAAGCGGAGCGGGATTCCACCGATCGAATCATGAATTTTGGCAGGATCTTAGTGCAGGCATTCCGGATGCGGCTCATGATGGCGTCCGACCCCGGCATCCCGCTCTTCAACGTTCTCGCCCGTCCTTGCACCGCCGTTCATGAGGCTGACACCTTTGCGAGGGCAATCCAGATTCCCTTGGAACGACGAGGGACGCAAATATCTTTGCGTTGCCGGTTATTTCATGTTTATGGACACGACACATCTAAAAGCAACGTCTGAGACGCAACCAGAGGAAGTTACTCGCAGCGCGGACGGCCGTCAAGAAACGGCAGAGGGGCTGCTTGCTGCTTCTCATGAAAGCGGACGACGGCAGCTCCCTCCAGTCCACCACCTCCCGCTATTCCGTAAAGAAGTCGCACCGCGCCGCCGATGCTCCATCCGATGTTTCAAATTTCCCGACGAAATCGTCGAGAAGGGAAATGGAGCTTATCTGCCAACGACGCTCGGCTGTGGTACAACGAAACACCGATATCACCGCTTTGGGCCAGCCACACGAAGAGAGGGAACGAGGTTGCTCGAGAGATGTGGGCGCCGTCAACGTGGAAGCAGAGAATGTCTCTAGCTGGGCAATTCACAACCTTTTGCTGCACGCACGAACAGCCGATGAACGAGGAGAGCTGCGCGGCCTTTTTTGATGGCAGTCGAAGTGGCGCCATCGACCCGACTTCAGTACGCCAGGATGCTGCGGTCCATGTTGGAAATGGATCGAACCCCGCTGGATATGGTGATTCTGGGGTTACAAAAAGTTGCGGTGCGATCGGAGACGAGGCAGGCGCGCCCCCTGACAGAGGAAGAGATGAATCAAGTTATCCGCAGCCGGACCGAATGGAAGGAACGTGTTGTCGTACGACTTGCGTGGATAACAGCGAGTCGTTGGTTTGAGATTGCGGCCTTGACTCCCAACAATTTTAAACTGAAGGCGGACGGGGCCATAATTCTGGATTGGTCCGTGGCGCCGAAGACGGCGAGGGCGGATCCCCACCGCGCCTCGCGGTTCGTGAGAACACGAGGGCAGGACGCCTTCGACAATATAAAGCTATGCAGGACACTTCAAGAAAGCGAAAAGCTCACGAATATTACTAATGCCAAAGTCGAACGAGCCCTGGTTCCTTGGAATGCCACGGCGCATTCCACAAAAAAGGGTGTGTTGCGGCACGCTGCTCAAATCGTGGAGGCATACAATTTGGATCCACACGTGATCTCGCAGTTGGCGAAGCACGTCGACCCGTTCGAACTTCCCCAGAATACTGTTTGATATTTGTGGAGGTACACCACAATGCTGACCCAGGTGTCGTCGCTGCTCGCATTGATGTGAAGGGAGAAACGGCGGAAGGGCAGGAACCCGTGTCGAGAGCGGAGGAGCGTTTATTTTCTCATGAATTTTATCACAATCATGCCGCTACAATAACGAGACGCGCGACAAGGACGCGTCCGGCCACTCCACAAGATGAACGAACCATCCCGCTACAGCAGGTCAAGGTGCCCGCATTGAATCCAGAGTGGATCAAGGGCCGGTTGAACCCGTCTACCTTGGAGAGGCTCATGCAAGTTTGGAGACTCGTCGGGCGGTCCCCTTTACCTTTATCCTCCTCCAGCAAGGCGCGCGAAGGCTCACGGAGGATTTCAGCGGCTGGCGCGCGATTGCTGAAGGAAGCGGGAATTATCGAGGACGCTTTTTCTGCAAGAACAGGCGGATAGATAATACCCTTTTCGGTTGTGGAGGAGAAAACCACCGGTTTACGACGACGATGGATTGCGTGGCCACGCGACAGGAACAGAGACGACCCTTATGAGGCTAATGTTCCTCTTTTACACATTTCCCATTATTTGCCACCTGTGATGGCTGAGGCCGCGTTCTGCCTGGACTTAAAGGCGTCCTTTTTTTAAGTCTCTTTACCGCGGGAGACTCGGCATCTCTTTCGATGCCGCGTGGAGGACGGCACGCTGGTGGAGCTCACACGGCTCCCAGTGGGATACAAGGCCGTCCCAGAAATTCTCCAGATTATTATTACTTCAGCAATTGCGGGGTGACGACGGTGGTTCACTTCCTATGGGCTGCACCTCCATCGGTGTGCGTCGACGTATGGATCGATAATATACGCATTGCAGGGTCGAAAAGCGGTGCGACATTGTGGGAAGCCCAGGTGCTTCGTAATGCGGACAGTTGCCACGCATCGATGGGGGAGGATCACGAATCGGGCGCTACGCATTACACCTTTCTGGGGGTGCAGTTTGATCACACTCGCCAGGCGGTATCCCTGAGTGACAGGTTTGTCCGGTCTGTGCGCGCCATGCCGTCGCTTAATTCTTCAACCATCGCGGAAATGGAGATTACGGCGTCACGCCTTTTGTATGCGGCGGCCATTTTTTGCACGCGTTTATGTGCCGCTTCTTTTTCAGCAAGGCAGTGCGACGACGATTACCCGCACTTAACCGGGGAATTGTGCGGGAGACATCCCCGGCGAACCTTCGGCCGGCAGCGGTTGGCTCGGGCGAGCGATTGCGACACATCATCGAGAACAATCGCAAGCGAATCATCAAGCTCAGGGAGAAAGCATCGGCCGCCATCATCACGGACGCATCGCTCCATGGATGGGGAGCCGTTTTTATTCCAGATTCAAGCAATGTTAAAACCGCCGGAGAAAAATGGAGGAGGAGTTCTTTTCTTATCATGCAGGCCGAGGTGCGCGCGGTGCTCTTAGCCTTATCGGCCTTTCCCGCCATTTTGCCATCCGCCATGGACGTTTGGGTGGACAACACTTTGCTGCAAGGAGCGGCGAATAAGGGCAGCTCAAAATCACACGCCATGACGTGGGAGCTGCAACGGATATACGAGTTTGTTGACTCTCGCGGAATACATGCATCCTTCGCATACGTGCGGTATCCAGAAAACCCCGCAGACGGCATATCACGCGGTCGTGTTTTTGCACTTCAGGACCTTGTGAAGGGGTGGAACTTGTGGAGGGGATCGGCGGGGTCCTGCGGCTGGAGGACCAAAAAGACTGCCGCTTTGTAAGTAATAATATTTAAATCCTAACTGAGTACAAAAGGTCACTTTAGCGCTCAAAAGAATATGTATATAAAATTAGAAGAAAACATTGAGGCAATTAATGCCTCTGCATTAATCCCCTCTTTTTTTCCTATCTTGTTTGGTTTATATAGATAATTTTAGGATCCGGCCAGTGGCCCAGAAGATTATTCTGGCTTGTTATTTTACTGATTATTGGCAAAAACGGATGATTGAGCCACCGCGATTGACCGTGGGGGATGCGTAACAAGTGTGTGTTTCACGCCCTCCACTGCAGCGCCCTCTCCTGGGGCCGGGGCACTTCTTCACATCCCTACTTATTGGGCG